AAGCAGCTATACTTGAAATAATACAGAGGTAACCTCTTATCTTGAGAAACAAAAGCAGCGACTTGAAGATATAGCAAACTGATAATATATGAATCAATATTATATTAGGGCCTGATGCTATAACTGAGATGAAAGTCTAATTATAATGTTATAATCAATTAGACCTCAACATACATCGATGTTCTATCACTAACGAAGTTCCCAACTCAATTAGGACATGAGATCAAGTTAGTAATTTTATTGAGTGCGAGTAACATAGTTACAAGTACTCAAGATTTTAGCCACTATATTTAAAATTAGAAACTTAACACAGTTGCGTCCACGTAAGTAGGTAGGTACATATTAAAAAACTTTTACTCTACGTAACCTATGAATTTCTAGGGAAATTTATATTATAAAAATTTGCAGTGGTGCCTTTGTGTTCAAATTATATTAGATCATCAATCTTTGTCACTGAAGAAGTTTTTGCAGTATCATATGGCTCGACTGGTATCGAGGCTCTAAATATATACATCCTAGACTTACATAATGAAAGTCTATTTAAATTTACTTGCTACTCCAATACAAATGACGATGAATAATGGTATGTATTCTAAATATTTTAGCTAGCTTAAATTTTTATACTCTTCAGACACGTATTCTTCATGACAAATTTATTTCACAGTTAGGTAATATAACGTCAAATACGTACTCTGAGTTGATGCATGTACTATGGAAGTAACATATTGAGGACTCGGGAGAAATCAAGACATAAACTATGTTCTTGTACTGAACTGCACTGTGAATTTCAATCCATATGTCACAATATACTGTCTGAATATTGTGAATTTGTAGAAAATTTTAAGCAAGAATAGCTTAACAGGGAATATTATACAGACTTGTTTTTTCGCAGAAAAATATACAAAAATATATTATATAGTTTTGCAATATAAATTGAAGAATATTGTTTTATTTATATTAATATTTTTGTAAATAAAACAACTCAATAGGATTTATTTTTAACTATGTTTTATGTAATAATCAGGGCTATAGTATAGTGATTGGCGTCTTCTATAAATATCTATATTCTATACATTCAAAAGGGAAAATGTAATTTCGTAGCAAATCATATGAACGTCATTTAAAAGCGAATTTGCCACAATTCTGAGACATGTAACACACGTACAATTTATGGATTGCTCTAACAAAAGGCTCTAACGAACTGAAAACCTCAGCTGCCTGCTTTCAAAACTTCTCACTCCTTATAACTGGCTTCAATAGGACTAATCAAGGCTTTATGCGGCTTATAAGTTATACCTGTAATATAATTGTATGTCTTACTTTATATATGTACGTAAATATATTGAAGTAAATTCTCACAATTGTTGATAATTAGAGTCAGTATGAAATGTTCAACAGAATGTCAAAACTGTAATCGATCGTTCATAATTATGGATTGAAAAAATATTAAAAAAGGATTCTTAAATCAAAAATCCTAAGAAATATTTAATAAGTTAATAGTATATAAACAGTTTTAATCTTCTATATATATAAAAATGGATTGATTGAGGCAGTATGAAGTCTGCCGGGTCAGCTAGTTCAAAATATTTTCATTGTGTGTGTCAATTATATAGACCAAGATTTATTACAAAATTTATACATACTGTTTTATATCTTATTACTATTATTTTTCCATACATAAAATAGTCTTAATTCAATCATCTAAGTAAAATTTAATAAATTAATAGTATATGATGATACAGTGATATTTTAATTCAATTTTACATCGTGTGTCCATTATATAGACCAAGCTTTAATACCAAAACTTATACTAACTTTTTCATACCTTTTTTTCGATATAATTTCATTCATAATTATGTATATAAAAACATTTTTCACTCCTAAATTGAATATATATATATATATATATTTATTTTTTTTGGTTATTTTCGATCAAAAAAGTTTAATCAGCATCCTAGTTTCTAATCACACAATACTTTAAACATATATTTTTTACATCATGTCTTAACTCTTCTTTCCGAATTTTTAAAAAAATATCGAAACATTGCACTGGAAACGAAATGTCACTTTAATAAAGTCGACTTAAAGCGAGAAATAAATTTATATTTCAAAGTGATATTTAAAATGATGTTAGTGATAATTGGTTATATCATTAGAGCCCGATTTTTATGAGCAAGCATGTCATTACAACTATGTATATACACGTATTTTTTGGATATGACTAGTATTTTTATTTGATTCTACTAAGTATTTTGGTTACTTCTATTTTATTTATGAAAAAGGGTATAAACGACTAGACGGAATATCTGATAGAGGTAGTACCCTCGTCTATGGACATTCGTAACAGTTTTGCGGATGCGTTGGCACCTTTGATTGGATAAGAAGGAAAGGAAAGGGTGGGAAAAGGAAAAGGGAAACCGTTTCTCTCACTCATCAGACGAAACGCAGCCTTTTGAGACTACTTCACGCCGATCTTCTGTGAGAAAGTGATTCTTCCCTGGTCGAGTCAGCTCTTGTTCGAGCTGCAGTAACTTGACCACAGCTAGGTTTTACCACCTACCACTTCTTAATTAGTGTTGCTATGGAAAGACGAGATGAAAGTATGTAAATAAAAATACCGTTTTATTGTTAGTATAATTACATACATTATCACAAAACTGTATATAAAGACGCTATCCTTTAGCTTCAAATACATATCATTTTCGGATCTGAATAGTTAGTTCAGGCTTCGTTATTTCATATTGTGTGTGTGTATAGAGCGATATTGAATTGCTTCATGACTTGAATGTCCTGTGACTTTTCAACGCTTTAATTACAAGCAGATTTTACGCTTTCATGTGAGTTTAAATTCAAATTTTTGACACCATTTCGGAGATTTGATATTTTTTTTGACTTTTGAAATATTAAAAAATAATTTTAATATATTTATTTGAGTATACCACCTCCTTTATGTTTGATTGCTAAGTCGTCTAGTCGTTATTTTGTAATTTTGTCACAAACATTATAAGACGAGAAATATGCCTAGTCCAACCTTAACTTCTGCTACAAATGGGAATATTTTTCTATATATTAATGTTATATAACAACAGTTACATATACTTAAACAACAAAACATCTATGAAAGTTTCCTTTATATCGTACTTAAATATAATTGGAAAAGTTTATGAGTACACACGGATATAAGAAGGTATGTATAGATGTTTGTAGGCCTTTCGCACAAAATCTACTTAATGAATTGTTACGAAAGTTCACTGAAACATAGGGTAGGCATCTAAATAAGGTATGGGCTTTAATTTATTAAAAATAAAGTTTTATTTCTTTTCATCATAACCGTTCTATATTGTATTGTTTATTTTGATACACTATATATATTTTTCTCTATAATTCAATGGCATACTCGAGGTCCGAGTGAAGTCGTAGGCTCAACCTAGTAAATATAAAGTGTTCTAATAAAACAACTTACCCAATAAACAACACACAAATACACTAAATTAACAATATTGAAACATATAATATACATGGATATATCACCACAATAATATTAAATAATCATTTATCCTAAAAAAAAGCTTTTTCACGCGATAATGGGATAAGTATTATTTCAGACCGATAGCACAATATTCAATTATTTTCATTCGTTTCCGGACCAATTAATATTTCACTTTACTTTAAGTATAAGATAATATTAGGATAAAAGGAATTTTCATTTTCACGCTCCATTTATCTTTTGAATCTACCGAAATTATGGTCGAGTTTCTTTATAATTTTCATACATTTACTTTCTATTCATCTGACATTGTATTTTTATTATTGTTTGTCTTTCATTATTATGAAAGTCTTTGTTTTTATTTCTTTATTTTGTTGCTACTGTCGCTTGCTTAGTCTAGACTAAGCTTACTAGCTTATTAAAAACTAAGATAGACTTAGACTAGAAAAAACCATTATAGATTGTTTGAAAAAGTGAGATACAAAAATTTTTAAAGTTTTTAAAGCATCTCAAATGTAATAACAATCAATCTTCTATTTCATATATTTAGTTCATAATTCAGTTTTTTACTAGGGTTGGCGATGCTGGACTACAAAAATATCTATTATTTTATATCGATACATAAAAAAAACTATTTTTATGTAACGTAATATTTCTCATAGTTTAATTTATTTTTTATATACATATTTTTTACATGATTATAATATTAATCTTGTGACAACCCTAACGATATAATTCGGCCGCTGCGAAGTTTTGGTTGGAGTACTTATAAAAGAGTATAATTCAATAATTCTGAGAAAACTCATTATTATTATGATGAATATATGTTTATTATTGATATGTTATCGTTTATACGATTATTGATTTCTACTTTAACTAATGGAACTATATATTTGACAAATATTAAATTATTATGTTGTTATACTATTATATTTCACGATATTTTTTCACATCTATACTTTAATACATATGTATATGGTAAATAGTTGATAAAGTCTGTTTTTATATGGTTATTAACTTACAATAAAAATTTATAAAATTTTTCATTTTTAGTAGCACAGCGCACACACAATAATTACAAACACGCACATACATATTATGTTCATCAAAATCTATGTATATAAAAGAAAGTCGTGTTAGTGACTCCACTTATAACTCAAGAATGGCTGAACCGATTTAGCTAAAAATTGGCAGGGAGGTAGTTTAGAGCCAGGAAATTGCAATAGGATACTTTTTATCCCCTTCGACAGCATTCCCGTGGGACTTGACATGAAACGTCAGTCACTATAAAACGTGGAATAACGAAACACAATTGACAGCTACGCAATATAATGACAGATATGTAATGACGTAATGATGACAATTAGATATTTGTAAGAGATCTACTATATAAAAATAAGTCCGGTCCGGAACGAACCTATTTCCACGGTTTTGCATTCGTTGGAAAGGTCTCGGGTTCCATGAGGTATATAACAAAAAATTTCAACAGAAAAGTGGGAGAAGTGTAAACCAGTTGGACGATCAGTTGGTCGATCAGTTGGACGAACAGTTGGTCGATCAGTTGGACGATCAGTTGGTCGATCAGTTGGACGATCAGTTGGTCGACCAGTTGGACGATCAGTTGGTCCACCAGTTGGACGATCAGTTGGTCGATCAGTTGGTCGATCAGTTGGTCGATCAGTTGGTCGATCAGTTGATCGACCAGTTGGTCGATCAGTTGGACGATCAGTTGGACGATCAGTTGGACGATCAGTTGGTCGATCAATTGGTCGACCAGTTGGACGATCAGTTGGTCAACCAGTTGGACGATTAGTTGGTCGATCAGTTGGACGATCAGTTGGTCGATCAATTGGTCGACCAGTTGGACGATCAGTTGGTCGACCAGTTGGACGATCAGTTGGTCGACCAGTTGGTCGATCAATTGGTTCGATCAGTTGGTCGATCAGTTGGATGATCAGTTGGTCGATCAGTTGGACGATCAGTCGCCCAACCAGTTGGTCGATCAATTGGTCGATCAGTTGATCGATTGAATGAAAATCTTATAATACTGCGATCTCTTTGAAAATCAATGAATTAATTTGCCGACTAGTAATCGAAACGTCGGGATCATCCCTATTAATTTTATTAGCAAAAGTAACTCTGTCTGTCTGTTACGCTTTCACGTCTAAACCACTGAACTGATTTTAATGAAGTTTGATACAGAGATAGAATTGACCTTGAGAAAGAACGTAAGAAATTTTTCATCCTAGACTTTTGAAAGGTTCTCTTGGAAACACGATGTAACCGAACTCCACGCGAGCGAAGCTGCCGGCGGAAAGCTAGTTATAAGTAAAAGCCTCTTATATACATAATTAAATTTCATCTTAAAAATAAATCAAATATATTTTTTTATTAATATTTTGTTACATATTTTAATTATTTCACCCTGTTTTTTCTTTGTTATGTTAAAGTTTCAATAAATACTTTTTTTATATATTTTTTAAAGACGAACATTTTCAACATTCTTCTATAATATCTGCATATGGGTTGCCTTTCACTTACAATTTGACTGTCATCAAGGCAAGCCTAACAGGCTGTTACCTAGATAATGAGTTTACTAAGCTAGATTTAAATTCTCCTAACATCAGGAGGAATAATAGTCAAGCGATATCCAGTATATGTGTAAATAATCACTTTTCATATAGAAATTATCTGACATTTTGAAAAAAAATGAAATTTCTTGCACAATATTAAAAATAAATATATTTTTTCATCTATTGTAGTTATAACGAAATATACTATTATTGTCTCACATAACAGTTTAGATAAGAAAATATAGAAATAAGAAGCAAACCGTCGTCCGGAGACTCCTTTCTCGAGGTAATTGAAGATGTTGTGTTAATTATTGCTACCTTGGGAGATTTCAGAGTGGAATAAAAAACATTCTGCGATATATTTTAAGAGTAAGTGGTTAGTAAAAAAGCGGAAAATTCTACTACAATTGAGCGTTTACTGTCACAATAAATAATAGATTAAGAACCAATATACATTCAAATTTGCTTCATTGTCGTGCGAACATTTTTATTTTCAATGTTCTCTTTATATCTGACACGTAAAGCTTCATTTTCGTCACCGATAATAATAATTTTTGTAGCAATGAATATTTTTATAAATAAATATTTCATGACTTATGAAACTATACAAACTTTAAGTCGTGGTGGCCTAGAGGTTAAAGGTCCACCTTTTGTGCATGTGGGTTAGTAACCTGGCAAGTACTAGTGTGTATTACCGAGTTATATGTAATTTCTAAGAGTTTTTAAACATACTAAGAGGTGGTGAAAGAAACCACCATGAGCGAACCTATACATGAAAATTCTTTTTACGAGTAGTGCTCCACCTTTCTCTCTCTAAAGCGTGGTGATTAATGCTCTACCTTCTCCATGTGTGAAGAGACTTTGATCAGCAGTAGGCATCGATAGGCTGATGATGAAGTAAACAATATCTTTGTAGTTCCATAAAACATATGTGAAATTGTTTTTAGTAATATAATAATAGTTTGCTAACTTCTAAAAGTGTTAGAATTTTCAGTATTTAATTCATAATTATTTTTGAATCTAATGAAAATATTTATCCGTGTAAAGAGTAGAAATATTCTTTAAATAGTTTCAGTTAGCGTACCACAAGTTTTAGTCATACAACGAGTATAGTATTTCCAGATTTTCTTTCATAAATCTACGTTAATACTATTAAGTATGAAGATCTATTAATGAACAACCGTTAAAGCTCTGTGTGTCGTAAGATTGGGTAAGCTTGTGGTATAGACATGGTAGCATTTTCCAAACTCTAAACACACGTCTCTCTTCCAATTGAATAGTCTTTACTTTACCACAAAAGTGTTGTCACGTCATTAAAAATATTATTGATTTTTTTTTAAATCGATATTTTTCAAATGTTTCAAAAAAGCGCTAACGCTTCACTTACCAATTCATAATTTATAGGAAAAAGAATTTAACATTCTTTTTCTTTTCTACTTTTTTCTTTCTGTATCTTTTTCTAATAAACATAAATACAAGTCTATTACTAAAATGTTTTGTTTGACAGGTTAACTGTTATACATTAGCTTAGTTGAATGACGGAAACGTTTCGAACCCATTAATATTTATCAAACCGTCTGACGTACACTCGTAGTTGAAAACAAGTTACTCGTTGTTTTAAAACTTCTAGATATAGTTGGAAAGCTAGATGGATACCGAAACATTTACATGTATATGAATTTTGTTTGTTTATACATGTTCGTATATAAATATAATAAGATATTTACTACTGGATGATATAGGGTGGCAAAAAGAGGTTCTAGGAAAACTAAGAAACTTACCTATATGTATACTACAATAAAAATTACATATTAAAATTTATCACCTATATCTAAGACTACATGATTGCCCTGATTTATTTATTGGGAATCAAACAGCATATACAACATCATTATAGTTTTCACATATTAAAATAATTATATAAGCCAACAAAGTTTACACTTTTGCACAGTTTCATGGAGTGAACATAAAAAAAATACTTATAATTATAAGAATTAAAACATTTTACAATTCAAACTGAATTTCAGTATAAAAAAGAAAAACAAACATATTAAATGTAATAACTAAATGAGCTTTTTCAAAACACGAGAATACTTTAAAAGACTGTCATTAAAAATATCAACAGAGTTAAACAATGCGTTATAGTTAGTACACGCTCTTACGAGAAAACGATTTTTTGCATAATTTCTTTTACATAATGGGACTGATGTTAGGATAGCAATTCCAGTCCATTGGCCCGTGTGGTATCAGGAATCTTCTGGTTCACACTGCCCGGTGTTCGTTTCGCGGAGCCAGCAACGTCACTCGTTATATGATATTTTATGCATGCAACGATGTTACCCCGGCGATGTTCATTTATTTTTCAACATGTAACACGCAGGTAACAATTGATACAAATTATTTGATAACAAAATGAGGATAAATACAAAAAGTTCCGTATTACAAAGCCCATTTATCATTTAATATATTTTTGAAAACCAAATTTTATAAATTAATCAACGATTAATATTCAACTCTCGTTCATTTCTGTTAAAGATGTACAAACATTTACTTAACTTTGAATTCTTGATATAATGAAATTATTATGAGTACAAGATCAAACTGCGAAGTCAAGTTATTTCTGACGGACAATTTAATTTGGATGTCGAAGTTCTTGTAGCCTAATTAATGTGAGGGTTGTTTTAAAATATCATACATAATATTACATATAAACGAGAAAATGAGTGTTTAATTCTTCGTTCTTTCGCAGTATATCTTCTCATGAAAAGTAACTATCAATAGAATTTAGGTTGTAGTTTATTTATAATGAGATAGATATTGCAAATACTTAACTATTATTTATTTTATACGCTATAACTTGATTCACACTAGAATCGTTTAATATTTTGTCAATGTCAACGTTTTTATTTGTTGGCCAAATAGTAATTATGGAGAAAACACGAAGGAGTTTGTTGAATGGAACAAAGCCGTTTATTTAATTATTATTTATATTATATATATATTTTTCAAAGAAAACTCTAGTTAGGTATTTTTTTAATAATTCCTAATACAAAAAAAAATCAGTAGTAATCCTATTATTATTTTGAAAATAAATTTTGTTTTCGTGATTACTTTCATCTTGAGTCGAAATTTTCTAAAAAAAATACAAAGTTTTGATTTAAGGTATTAATATGGCTAGAGGTATACGAAGTCTTATTGAATTAGTAAGAACATACACGATCGCTTGAATATTGGCAAACTTTTTTTCTTTGATATTCAGGTTAATACTGAATCACAATGAGATCTAAGTCTTTTGAGAGTATTCATTTAAATGAAACTAATATTTTTTGAATATACGCGTGCTCGTGCTATATTATATACTAACCGATACGTCGTGAGAATGTACATAGTTTTTTATCAAAATAAAGCACGCCTAGTATATCCAAAAAATATTAGTTTCATTTAATACTGAATAATATTTACGTGTTAAAGAAATTTTGAATATTTAGACATCTTCTGATGGACATAATAAATAGTATCAGAATAAAACAATTCCGTTGACACAAATAAAGTATCAGTATCTCAAAACAGACATCGTGATAAATTTAACGTCGTAATTTCAAAGTGTTATGAAATATGGGTAAGATGTAGAAATTCAACATTTATCTTAAAAGCCCTCGAGGCCGAAACAAAAGCACAATTTGACTTGAAGCATCCTCTGATAAAGGGTGACTGACGGCTAATGGGCGTGTGAATAGGGTTACCGTGATATGAAATAAATAATATGTAATTTAATTAAAATCACATACCAATATTAAACCCTATAAAGGTAAGCATGATAATAGGTTGAAAGAAATTTCATATCTCTGGTAACACTGGCCACTAGACATATATATATATATATATATATATATATATATATATATATATGTATATATATATATTTCAAGTCATTATGTAAAAGAATTTTACATAAAATTATGTGATTCTCTTAGTTAACTAATATGAATTACATAATGAGTAAATAATGTATATGTATATTTATGTGTGCGTACTTTTAAGTTCCTATAGTGGGATTATACTATAAATTAAATAGAAAATAATGTATATTACTTTCATATTAAATAATAATAATAAATACAAAAAATAATGAGTAATAACTAAAATGGAATTTCAAAATTCAGTATTCGGCAGTAAATTAAAAATTTTGTAGCTGCGCCCCGTCATGTAGAAACTAGGCAAAAATATAAAGTTGCTCTCA